CCCAGACCAGCGACCGTCCATGGACCCCCACCCCTTCCCTGAGCACCCTCTCGAATTTCCACCCCACCTGCCCCTAGCGGGGGGTCAGGCTGCCTAGGTCCTAGGTCCCTGAAGGGACCTCCGCCCACGTGCCTAGCTCTCCTCACCTGCACTCTCTCTGAGTACCCCAACGAGCACCCCCTAGGCTTCCCCCCAATGCTTGTCCAGGTGGTCAGGTGCCCCCACAAAGCCCAGCACTGCAACACGCCCCCCCAGGCCTGCACTCCAGCCATGCTCCCTGGGATTCCTAGAGCCCTGCCAGGATGGTCTCAGGACCCCTGCCCCACCTGTCCTCTCCCTTCCAGCTGACTTCTCTGAATTGGCTGGGAATGGATCCCCTGGCTCACAGGAAGCTGCAGGTCCCAGGAGAGGAGACAAGACGGGCAGGAGTGAGAGCAGGAGGTGTGGCTGCCGCCAGAGAGGGAGGCAGCTCCTTCCTGCAGAGAGAGGCAGAGCTCGTCTGGCCCGGGCCGGGACTTCTCCAGCAAGCTCGCCAAGGCCAGGCATGCACTGGGGCCCTCTCCTCACCCAGGGGCCTCCTGAGTCCTGGCTGACATGGCTCTTCCTACCCCACACGTGCGGTCATCCATCTTCCTAGGTGCCCTTCCATCCACACACCCCACCTCCTCCCAGGACCTACACCCATCCTCTGTCCCCTCCGTTCCCTCTGTCTTATGGATTGATGGAGCCACACACCGTTTTGTGTATCCATCCCTCCAGCCCCCTTCCCCGACTCACCTCCCCACCTTGACTCTCGCGTCCACACCTGTTCATCAACCCTCATCCATTCACCTTCCCTCTGCACTCACCCCCACACGTGTGTCCGTGGATGTGTCCAGCCATCCCCACCTGCCCGTCACCAATACATCACCCATTGCTTCACCCGTCCTTGCCCCGCCCACAGTCAGGTCTTCCTTCTTGCCCCCGTGACATTAACCCATCCCCTGTCTGTTCCATGCAGCAGATCTCAGACAGGGAGGTGCCTGTCAAATTCTTCAGGGAATGCATTTTGAGTTTGAAAAATCCTGATCTGGACCCTAACTCCACACCTACCTGGAGCGTGCTGTGATCTAATATTTGGAAACAGAAGCAGTGTTTATCTCAGTGTGAACTACCAGAAGAATGTCTGCGTGGACTTCTTGCCTGTGAGAGCCACAGAAAGTGAAAGTGGCCACCCATGCCATGGCATGGCTCTGAAGTAACCACGCCAGCATTTCTGGGGGAAGGGGAGCTTGTGCTATTCGCAGAAAGATAAGTGGGAAATGGAGCTGTCCCCGGCGTCCACCCACCCCTCATTCCTCAGACATATAGCGAGTGCCCCAGGGTGTCAATGTGAACAAGGCTTGCGCAGCCTTCAGGGACCTCCACTCCGAAGGGAGGCAGACCCCTGCAGGCCATCTGCACCCCGTGGGAAATATGCTGCAAGTACGTGAGCATGGCCAGCCGGCCCTGGAGAAGGCCTCTCCGCAAGGGAGGAATCCTTGAGCCAGGCCTCCAGGGGGGAGGACTCCCTCAGCTGGGACTCTAGGTCAATCACCCCCAGGCAGTCCTCCAGTGGGTGTGGCACGGACCTGGGAGCCAGAACACCTAGGCCCAGACCCGGCCATCAGCCTCAACTTCCTCAGGTATAAAATGGGCTTCACAGTCGCGCCTGCGGACTTCACAGAACTGGGGGGATTAAGTGACCCTGAGTCCTGTGTATGTCAAGCACTGGATACATGTCTGTCTGTATGTGCATGCAGTAGGCACTGCAGATAAGTGTTTCCTGCTGTTACTAAAAGCACAACCATCTGTGAGTGTAGAAAGGTGAGTGAGCCCAGCTTGTGTGAAAGGAGGGGCATTCAGGGCTGGCCTGAGCACTGGACCCGGAGGGACTCAGGCTCGAGGATGTGGGCAGGGCCAAGCTGCACTGGGAGTTTGAACCCGTCGATGTGGGAAATAAGGAGCCAGCATGCGTCTGGAGAATGATGATGGTGATGATATCACAGTGCAGAAGGCGTCCCGCCTGCCAGTTGACAGTGCGCCAGTCAGTGGTGTTGCATGCTGTCCCAGGGTTGCACGGCCGCCACCATGCCAGACCTGGGTCCATCCTTCCTTGCTGAGAGCCTGTTTGACTGCAGACTGCACATCCCGGGGTGCGTTCGGGGCTAGGAAGTCCCCGTCTGGACCTCGGCCCTGCCTCTCAGGACCCGCGTGCCCCAACTCAAGGGGTCGCCAGCCCCAAGTGACGACAGGACCGGGAGCCGCGCCCAAAGGGCAGGCGCCATGAAGGTGCTTCCAGGAGCAGGTCAGAGCTGTCCCTCCTGTGACCGTGGCCAGGGAGACACTTCTCTGTGGGTCCTGGGCACTCCAGCTCCCAGGTTGAGCCTCAGGGTCCTGCCACATGGCAAAGCAGATCAGGGCTTCATGGACAAAACGCGGACAAGGAGTGACCACGAACAGCACGTGTGACCTCCCGGACTTCAGAGGTCTTTTCTCGGAGGGGGGACAGGCAGTGGGGGCCACTGGGGACAACGCTTGTCTTCCTGTGTGGCCCTCGGAAACAGATGCCACAGTCGCGAGAGGCCTCCCGTGGGCCGCAACCCTCCCTTCCGCCCCACCCATGGAGGGGCGTTCGGGGCTGGCATCCGTGCATGAGCCTGACTCCTGCTTGAGACCACATGCTCACCAAGGATTTCACTCTCAAAAAATATATGCAAGCTACGAAGCCAGGTCATCTCAGGTCCCTGCATTCAGTGAGCAATTCTGCCAAGGAAAAACCCGGTGTCAAAGTGCTTTGCAAACTGCTGCCCGGGGGCATGCAAATTTGAGGGCCATCAGTCATTTGGAGTCTTCTCCCAGGGGAGCACTGGGTTTCCTGGCAGTTAAGTGAGGGACTGAAGTCCTTGGCCCCCCACCACAAAGGCCCAGTGGCAGAGGGTGTGAGGCCAGCCTCCCAGAGCTCCTGTCCACTTTCCAAAGACACAGCCTGTGGCCTCGTAGTCTCGGGATTCACCCCTGAGCCTCTAAAGCGTAACACTCCAGAGCGATTCCTTTCCGATGCTCCACAGCTGTCCTGTGCCACCCTGGCCACCGTTCTAAGCCACACCGTGGGACATGGGAAACTGGTATTGAGGCTGGACTGATTTGGGTGGAGGTGAGGCTACATGACTTGGAAAGATCCAGAAGCTGCCTGGACGCAGGAAACCAGGTCTGAGTGGTTCCTCCTTGGCGATGGTGACCCAACCTCTGGAGCTCGGGTCATCCCAGTCACAAAAGGAGGCAGCAAGACCCACCTGCCACTTCACGATGGTCCATGGAAGCCGCTTCCTGGGGGCCGGGCCGTGGCCTCGGCAACCTCTAGGATACCGAGGACAGAGACAAGTCTGTCCCGGGCGCTCCCCGTTCTCAGGGTCTGCGTGTCCCAGGCTTCCTGCACGTGCCTCGGGCCCTTCACGCACACCTGGGCTCCCCACACACCCCTTGGTCTCCCCACGTGCACCCTGGGCTCCCCACACATGCCCTGGGTGCTCCACATGCCCTGAACAAGCCTTTCGCAATGTGCAAAGCTCTGTCCCTTTTCCTTCCCGTCACAGCAGGCAGGCGTCCCAGGGGTCACTTGTGCTCACGGCAGGGACACAGGCAACTTGGCCGTCTCCAGAGCGCACAGCAGCATCCTGTATGTGGGGGCTGGTGTCGGGAGGCTGCCACATGGTCAGCCAAGGGCTTTCTGCTGAAGCGTTGGGGGCCTGATGGCTTCTGGCCGGTGGTGACAAATCCCATTCCTCCTCCGCAAAGAAAGGCCAGATGCAAACCAAATGTGAGCAGGAGAGAGGGGGCGGCTGGGAGATCCCAGAACCAGGGAATTCCAGAGCCCAGTGTGCAGGCCGTGGACTCTCCTAAAGGGACAGTACTGCATTCCTCTATGGGCTGCTTCCCAGAAGAGCTGGCACGGGGAAGAAAAAGGGCCCTCCGGTGAAACTCCAGCTCTTAAAAAAGTCCATTCTCTGTTCAAGTCACAGCGTGAATTCTACACATGCAAATGGGCTGTGGTGCAAAAGCCCTCCAGAGGTCAGTAGGAGGGCTGGAAGCACCTCAGTGTGACCTGGAGCTGTACCCTGAGGGTGAGTAAGGTTTTCAGCTTCAACAGGTGGCTCTGGATTTAGATATGCTGGTCTTAGCCACAAAGCAGGTTTACAACAGGCCACAGCTACATGATCACCTGTTGAACTGTGGGTGCCTGAGGATGAAATTTGAACGGAAGGTGTGTGACTTTATGTAGCCAGCGCATTGGAAGGAAGACCAGTGACGGAGTCTCTCCTTTATCCACTATTACTGGAAAGAAATGCAATCGTATTTCTTTTAAGTACGTGCAGTAACTAAAATGTGTATTTCTATTCTCTCCACTTCGTACAAAGTGGCTCCTTGAACATCTCTTGCAAGACTCGAAGGCAAGGCGTCTGTTTTGCTGAACATCAAGCATGGCTTGCTGTGGCCATCCCCGTGGCGGGTGTGTTGATGGCGGAGAGAGCCCTGTGAGTTGTGTGTTCTCCTCGTTCATGTGACTACAGCC